CTTTCCTTTCCTTTTTCTTTCTTTCTTTTTCTTTCTTTCTTTCTTTCTTTCTTTCTTTCTTTCTTTCTTTCTTTCTTTCTTTCTTTTTCTCTTTCTTTCTTTCTCTCTCTCTCTTTCTTTCTTTTCTTTTCCTGAAGCAAAAAATGTTCATTTTATTTAAATAGTCATATAAGGATAAAGTATTTGCTTTCAGAGAACTTAAGAATCCAGAGCTCTAACAGAAGTGACTCCTGTGGCCTGTTGGGTGCTGTTCCTATGGGATCACATCTGTGATTTCCCAGGTCAGCATTTGACTCCGTTGAATATGTGGTTGTGGTTTATGTCTGTAATCTGGGCTGGATCAGGACAAGCCAAATCAAATCCATCGACTTTAAATCTTTGTTCAACACTTACTTACAGGAGCAGTAATGTGGTGAAAAACAAAAACTCTAGATGGCATTACCTAGATTCTGTTATCCAAAACAATTTAGTTCTGTTCTAAATGTCAGACATCAACTGAACAAACATTCAAGCCAACCAAAAAACCAGAAGTGATTAACTGGACCCATTCTCCTTTAATGGCAGAGCAGTGCTGTCTCTGAGGGCTCTCAACCCTACCCCAAGTGTCCTATCAAAATGTTCTTCCCATCCAGTTACAATAAAGTGAATTTCAAGGAAAGTTATGATAAACATAATTTTCCAGTGATATCAACTTCCTAAAGCTGGTCGTGTGCCCCTGGGTGACCTCAGGCATATATCTGTCTGGCCTGTATTCCCTGATACCACCTGCATCAGACCCTAGTTTTCCTACATCTAAAGGAGAGACAAAACATTATATATCTGTGTTGATTTAATAGGTATCATAAGGATGACTGGGAGACATTTAGTACAGGGAAAGTTGAAGCCATAGAAACTCCTATGGAACAAGAAAGAATTAGAGATGTTCAATGTCATGACAAGAGGATTCTTGAAAGGGTCAAGCCTTATTGGGCATTTCGGGTCAAGGTTTCTGGGAATGATATTGTGAGGACTGTGGAAGATGCGCAGAGTGTGAGAAATACCAATGACTCCCGGAAGTTTACAGAGGCAGGAATGAGGCTAATGGCTTATTTTTAAGTCAGTTCAGATGGTTTGAACACAGCCTATTTTTTAATTAATTTTTTTATTGTTATGTTAATCACCATACATTACATCATTAGTTTTTGATGTAGCGTTCCATGATTTGTTGTTTGTGCATAACACCCAGGTCTCCATGCAGAATGTGCCCTCTTTAATACCCATCACCAGGCTAACCCATCCCTCCACCCCCATCCCCTCTAGAACCCTCAGTTTGTTTTTCAGAGTCCATCGTCTCTCATGGTTCGTCTCCCCCTCCGGCTTACTCCCCTTCATTCTTCCCCTCCTGCTATCTTCTTCTTCTTTTTCTTTTTTCTTAACATATGTTGCGTTATTTGTTTCAGAAGTACAGATCTGTGATTCAACAGTCTTGCACAATTCACAGTGCTCACCATAGCACATACCCTACCCAATGTCTATCACCTAGCCACCCCATCCCTCCCACCCCCCACCACTCCAGCAACCCTCAGTTTGCTTCCTGAGATTAAGAATTCCTCATATCAGTGAGGTCATATGATACATGTCTTTCTCTGATTGACTTATTTCGCTCAGCGTAACACCCTCCAGTTCTATCCACGTCGTTGCAAATGGCAAGATCTCATTCCTTTTGATGGCTGCATAATATTCCATTGTGTATATATACCACATCTTCTTTATCCATTCATCTGTCGATGGACATCTCGGCTCTTTCCACAGTTTGGCTATTGTGGACATTGCTGCTATAAACATTGGGGTGCACGTACCCCTTTGGATCCCTACATTTGTATCTTTGGGGTAAATACCCAGTAGTGCAATTGCTGGATCGTATGGCAGCTCTATTTTCAACTGTTTGAGGAACCTCCATACTGTTTTCCAGAGGGGTTGCACCAGCTTGCATTCCCACCAACAGTGTAGGAGGGTTCCCCTTTCTCCGCATCCCTGCCAACATCTGTCGTTTCCTGACTTGTTAATTTTAGCCATTCTGACTGGTGAACACAGCCTATTTTTTCCTGATTTTTTTGAAAGTGAGGCAGAAAAATTTTCTTCTGAAATCCTGTTGCAAATCCATTCATCTTTACAAAATTGCATAGCTGACACACATTGAGCTCTATCTGCCAAGCATACACAACTTGGTAATACTGTATTACCTCCTTTTTAAGTGTGTAGTTTAAATGTCACCTCCTCCAGGAAGTCTTCCCTACCATGTTTAATTGGCAGACTGACTCCCACATGATTTCTATTGTATCACCTGTGTTAGTTCCATCAACCTACTTGTCACTGCTCTGGTGATATTGCTAAGCAAACGCAGTGTAATATTTGAATTCTCAGGTGTTTATATGTGGGTATCAACGTGGTGGTTTTCTCATGGCAAATCAATATGCCATTTTAAGAGTGACTTTCCTGCCATTATTCTGCATACATATAAATGGCATCCCTTAACTGAAAAATACACTTTATATATGAGAAAGATAAATCAGACAAAATATACATATACAGGATATGTATCTACAGATTAAAATCATGTAGAGATCCTCTGAACACCTCTTTCCCCACTACCTCGTAGTGGCTTTGCATGCTAATCATATGGTAATATGTCAATTAACATTATTTTAAGGTAAATAATCTCCCTGAGTCATTGACTTTATTTTGCCTCTGTGAATGAAAACTGGTAACATTTCAAGTTACTTTTGACTAGCAGAGAAGTTGGCTTATTATATGTCTTGTAAAATTATAAACATTAACTTGAATATTGTTTTCCATGATGCCTACTTGGCAAAACAGGCCTTTAGGGACTGAATACTATGCTCCAGAAGAAACAATAAACTTTTGAAGTTTAGAGGACTAAAGAGTTCTGTGTGTATTTTAATAGGCAACATTCAAAGACGTGTGTGTGTGTGTGTGTGTGTGTGTTGTGTGTGTGTGATTGCTAAATACAGAACAGGGTTTCAAGTTGGCAAGTGTTTTTCAGTCTCCCAACTTTATCTAAAATTTCTTTTTTAATGCCTTTTTAGAAAAAATTTTAAAGATTTTATTTATTTATTCATGAGAGAGAGGGAGGGAAGCAGAGGCAGAGGGAGAAGCAGGTTCGCTGTTGCAGGGCTCAATCTCAGGACCCCAGGATCATGACCTGAACCAAAGGCAGACGCTTAACCAACTGAACCACCCAGGCACCTTATTTTTTTTTTTTTTATAATTTTTCTTTCTTTCTTTCTTTTTTTAATGCATCAATCATGGTTTCCTCCCTTCAATCTGTCTCGAACTCTTGTCTGAGCAGCTTCAGTTAGGAAAGCTGAAACTCAGGAGGAAAAGCAGGAAAAACTGAACCTACGTAACATTCTGTGTCTGCAGTGACTTGGGGAGTACTGCTTGAACTCTTGACCCCACTTATGCAGCACGTACAGTGGAAAGGAAACTGTTCTACTTTCTCTGTGGTTGCGTTCACTTTTCTCGTATCTTGATGTCGACAATTACGTAGAGTTGGTGCATATCACCGATTGAATCTCAGCACTCTCAAGGGCATAAATGAATCTGCTTACTGGTGTGTGTTTTCCTTGAACAGGAGATTGTCTCATCCCAGGCTGGTCCAGCTCTATGGAGTGTGCATACAGCAGAAGCCACTGTACATTGTGACCGAGTTTATGGAGAATGGCTGCCTGCTGGACTATCTCAGAGACAGAAGGGGAAAGCTTACGAAGGAGATGCTGCTGAGCATGTGCCAGGATACCTGTGAAGGGATGGAGTATCTGGAGAGGAACTGCTTCATTCATAGGGATTTAGTAAGTAGGATGCAAGTTGGCTGATTATTCTAGGCATTATATTCAGAAGAATATGACAATTGAGGACTTTCACTATTTTTTTTAAAGATTTTATTTATTTATTTGTCAGACAGAGAGAGAGGGAACACAAGCGGGGGGTGGGGTGGAGAGGCAGAGGCAGAGGGAGAAGCAGGTTCCAGCGAGCCTGATGCGGGACTCGATCCCAGGACCTCGGGATCATGACCTGAGCCAAAGGCAGACGCTTAACCGACTGAGACACCCAGGTATCCTGAGGACTTTCACTATTTTAAATAAAATACCTTTGACTTAATTTCTAAACCCTTTCCTATTGTAATTCTATGGGAAATGTAGCTTCATTTTTAATTGCCCTTTGATGCTGTAGCCAAGTGAGGCATTACTCTAAATGTGCCTTCAACTAATTAACTACCACGCTCATCAACTAACCAAAACTATTTTACTTTTCTTTCCGCTCACCTTCCCTCCCTTCTTCCATTACTTCCACTTTTCTTCCTTTCAACCAGTAATCAAATACGTGACGAGGGCCAGTATCGGCCAAGCGCTCTGCCGGGCACTGGACAGACAGTGGTGAAGATCAGGCTCCAGGGGCTCCCCCCGCCCCCATGTGGGGGTGTTTTTGGTTATAACAGTATCACAATAGTGTTACCGGCATCACTGAGGAGGACTAGAAATGTTAAATTATTCTGTGCTGGAATGCTCTGAACATTACATCCTAAGAAAAAAAATTAAAGCTTATCTTGCCCCAAATGCCCCGGTTGAGTTCAATGGGCTGCCACGATTCAGAAGTACCGCTCTGGAGGTGGACAGCCTGGGTTGAAATGTGGCCTTTGTTTCTCCCTAGCTGTGTGATGTTGGGCAAGGTAGTTAACTAGGACGTGGGATGAATTACAGCACCTTCCTCCTGTGGGCTTGTTGGGAAGATTACATGAATTAATATGGAGAAGCACTTACAATTGCTCTTGGCATATAGAAGAGCTCAGCTCTGCTCTTCCATAGCAATAGCCCTTCCATAGCCGTTTAGACCCCTGTTCTGTCTCCCTCAAGGCATGTCCCCCAGTCCCCAGCATGTAGTAGGAACACGTTTTTGAAGGGATGAATATGATATCAATTCCACTGAGCTTACTTTCCTAGTCTCTGCAGGTCAGTCTTTCCTGACAAAGGTTAGAATTCAAAACTTTCTTGGGTGATGGTTCTGGTCATTCTCTTTGCTCCAAGTGGCTTTTCTCAGATCCCCCTGTCCTTGGTTTCTTCCTTGATTCCTTTCTTTTGTGTTCTATTTTATCCATCTTTATGCCATTTAAAATCTGTCGGCTAAGCACGAGTCTTTTCCTTGTCAAGGGCTTAACTTGTGGTTTGGCTTGGAGATCCTTGCTAGTATTTGTCAAAATCTTCTAAACTGGCTCCTTCTGGCTTACCATTTTAAGTTCCTTGTTTTTGTTTTGGGACTAACTGAAGCACCTATCAGCTTAGAAGAGAACAAAATCTATCAAACTGTTGACTTACATGAAGCTCAATAGCCAAATCAATGATTTTCTTTGACGAAGCTCTCTGAAAATGGATTATTTTGGCATCAAATACATGGTCTCTGCATTATTTAAAAATACACACTGTTTTTAATGCCAGGATTCATAGTTTAACGTCTCTTTGATGTAGTCTTCCTAGTTATCAAAAATACCTGTTGAGAGGCATTAAAAACTTTTAAAAGGAAAAGTATTAAAATTGCTTTTGACCTTTTTTTTTGGTTATTTCTTTTTTCTTTCTTTTTTTTTTAAGATTTTATTTATTTATTTGAGAGAGAGTGAGTGAGAGAGAGCACAAGCCAGGGGGAGCAGTAGAGGGAGAGGGAGAAGCATACTCCCCACTGAGCAGGGAGCCCGATACGGGGCTCGATCCCAGGACCCCGGGATCATGACCTGAGCCAAAGGCAGACGCCACCACACTGACTGAGCCACCCACGCGCCCTTTTTGGTTATTTCTTTGAAGAATCATTAAAATCCATCATGAGGGCAGATATATAGAATCATACATAGCATCGACAGGTATTACCAAAAAAATAAATGGCTGCTCATAGAAGTAGAGTGGGGCCCCAAGTAAACTAAGGAAAACGAGAGTAGAAACAAAAGAAAGACTATATTCAAATGCGGATTCTTTTCTTTTTATAGGCAGCAAGGAATTGTCTGATCAGTGCTGCAAGTATAGTGAAAATATCGGACTTTGGAATGACGAGGTATAATATATATAAATATTTTTTGTTTACTCATAAGAGGGAATCTTATATCTCTCTCCTAACAAACTGAAGATGTCAATAGGCATTGCTTTTTTTTTTTTTCCCCTGTGAGGAGAATGTTGATGTGGTTGCTTGGCCTGTTGCCCTGCTTTGAATTTTAGGACATAACCCAATGTTAGCTGTGAGGTAAATGGATACTTTGGACTATTCTTCGGATCTTCTTTCAAGTTATTTTCAGGCATAACTTAAAATTTTTAAAAATGTCTCAATCTACTTGTTACATGCATGAGGTTAAGAAATAAGCTCTTCTGATATATGTATATTTCTGAAAGATAAAAGGATAAATTTGTTTAGTTCTGATTTTTCCATGTCATTGTCATGCATTTCTGTGATCAGGTGTAGTAGTTGACTTTAAGACTACGACTCAAGTGTGGAAAATCTAACCTTATTTTCTGCCACTTAGTGCCATTGATATATATATATATTTTTAAATGTACTAAAATTTAATCATCCATAAAAGCTGTAATTTAATCTGACAGTAAAACACAAGAAGCAATATTAGAGTTGGTTTTGAGCGCCCTTTCCTTCAGGTTGCTAAAAATTCAATGCCCGTGAATTCAGAGTTTCTCTCTGACTCGCTTCAGGGTCAGATACAGTGTTCCATGGGGCCACGTCCTGGAGAGGGCATGTCTGGTCCTTGTTAGCCACTGACAGCTGGTACCCTTGCAGCCACCATCCTCCTGTTTTGTCCTTGGCTGAACATCTGCATAGGCGGCTGCTGACTCATCCCCAATTTCTGTCTGCAAGATGCTGTCATACGGGCATTCTCCATGCTTAGAAACCCCCCGGAGCTATCTAAGGCCCTATTTGCTTAGGAACATCCACAGCTATTTGTTTTTGGGAATCTCTCTGCTTTTCCTGGGGCTTGACCTGGGGAAGAGGCACGGGCTCTGTTTTGCTCTTGAATCCCAGCAACCCTCAGTGGGGCCTTCTTTCCCTGCCATGTCAGCAGGGCAGTCCTTGTAGAGCACAGGGGACAGGACCCTGCTGCAGTCACCCACTACTGGCTAATACTCCTCCCCTTTCCCTTTGTTCTCTGCCACCTCCCAGCTCCAGAGGTTCGTTCGTTAGAGGGATGGATGTTGGGGTGGGGGTGGGGGGAGATATCACTCTTATTTATGAGCCATTCTCCCCCATATTGTAACAGCTCAGTCCCCCTCCTTCTCTGGAAAGCTTAGACTTTTGAAACTCAAAAGCTATGAAAAATGGCTCTTTCTCTTTTGTTTTCTATTAGCTACTCTTTCCCTGAGTAGGATGACTTCTGGCTCAATAAAGGGCTTAAAGGTGGGGTGAGGTAGGGTGCGTGGGAAAAAAAAAGAGAGTGTGAGGAAGCACTAATAAATAATTAAAAACTACTATACTGCACACTCCAGGAGCGACAAGTTAGTCATCATCTCTTCGCTCTTCTCTCCAGATTCCCCTACTTGGATATTCCTGCCTACAAGCCTCAAAAGAGAGAGAGGGTTTAATATTTTTGTAGTTTTTAAAAGGAACTGGTAGTTATTACTGATTTTGTACAGGGCCATTTTAATGCACTGGATATTTTTCACATCAAATGTATTATGTTCAATACTCTTATTTCCCCCTTTCTCTGCCTCACAAAACCCATCTGCATGAAGAAAAAAAATAAGGCATCCAGCTTTGAATTTATTCTTTGCCATATGTATATTTATTTTTTTATTTCCTTTTTATAATCTTGGTTGTTAGAGCACTCAGCATGCTCCTTTGCAGAATTAAGAATTTGTCAATATGAAATAATCAGTGGGTTCCCAATTCCAATCGGTTTTGGATTGAAGATTTGTTTTGGTTTTCTGAGACCCAAATAAACCCAATTGAGGCTTGGTTTAAGGAGGAATCACTATATAGGATACCTTCCCATTTTGGTAACAAGAAGAGAAACTTTGGGGGGTAAAAACGCTTTCTCTTTTAAAAATTTATTTATTTATTTGAGAGGGAGAGATTGGGTGGGGGGAGGGGCAGAGGGAGAGGGAGAGGGAGAGAGAATCCCCGAGTAGACTTCCTGCTGAGCACGGAGCCTGATGGGGCTTGATCCCAGGACCCTGAGACCATGACCTGAGCCAAAATCAAGAGTCAACTGCTTAACTGACTGAGCCACCCGGGCACCCCTGCTTTTTCTTTTAGAACTTAAGGTAGACTAAGGGGGTTTGAACTAAATGAAACTTGGAAGTAATTAGCACAATGTGCTTTGAATCTAATGACCTTAGGTACGTTTTGGATGATGAATATATCAGTTCTTCTGGAGCCAAGTTCCCAATCAAGTGGTCCCCTCCTGAGGTTTTCCATTTCAACAAGTACAGCAGCAAATCTGACGTCTGGTCATTTGGTGAGTAAATTTGATGTTCATTTGATGGAGATTGATTTAATAAAAGGCCAATCTTTTTTAAGCTTTGATTTCTTAGTATGATGTGGGGTTCTAGAAAGGTCTTCTTGTAACTGTCCTTCTGTCTTAAGTGTTCTAAACACATCCAGGCTGTCTTTGGCAACTGGTATCATACACCTTCTTATATAAGTCTACCTTTTGGATCTTTTCCTTTCCCGATGAGCATTTGCAGGAAAACCATAACAGAGCGTCTACTGATCTAGAAAACAAAGGCAGCCACCTTTTTTACACCACAGACACTTGCAAGGAAAATGGATCTAAGGTGTCACTGAATTTCGAGTGTAATTAATAAACTTCATTTCCAACTACTAAGCAAGACTACTGCATTTATTTCATTACCTTCAGATTTTGTGGTATTTTAGATATAGGCCTCCTTGGGAACTGTCAATTGGAGTTTATATTGTGTAATGTTCTTCATTGAGAAAGAGATGTTGCAGATCCATGTCCAGTGGAGTCTGTTCTTTGAGTTGATTTTCAAAAAGTGGCAGTCGATTTGCAATAAGCTATCTATTCTCTTTCACCCAGACCTCTCTGGATAGCTTCTTGGGTTTGGAGACACCTCTGCACCCTCAGAAGGATGTGAATTTTATTGTCCACGTAAGGTGAAACTTGTATCATTGATCTCTTTAGTTCTCCACTGACTTTTGGTAGTTTTGGCAGGTGACATTTTATGCTCTACAGGGGAGCAGTCAAGTTGTGAGACTAACGGATAGCAACACAGGGACCTCATCAAGTGGGTGCAGAACAATTAGAATATCTGAGTTTTACCTGACCACTGGTCTCTATCTCCCACTGGACAGTGAGCTGCTTGAGCCCATGGACTGGTTTCTAGAGTCTTCTGGCTCTAGCATATGCCTGGCCTCTAATCAATGCATAATACATATTCTTAGAATAAGTGAATAATCAAATGAAGTTCAAATGGGAGCCTTGAAGGAGTTTCACTAATCAACCAATCAATGATTGTAGAACACCTACTCATGTACCAAGCCCCTGCTAAATATTCTGCTCTACCCAGCAGTCTCATCTTTCAGCGGGCAGAGAGGAACACGTGCCTTCTACTGGCTGGTAAACTCTTGGCCACACAATTTTGTCATTTTCTATGGGGTGGCAGAGAGGCTTGCTGATTTCAGGGTGTGAAGACAGGAACATACTTAGAAATGAAAAATGTTGGCAGCGTTTTCTTTCAATCGGAAAGCGGTCAAGACCAGTGGAAAAGAAAGGCATTGTTTTCACTTGGAATATTGTCAGATTACAGGCCTGTTCGAAAACGAAGACGCACATGGGCTGATTCCTAGACAGAACTGTTCTCATTCTGCACCGATTATAATGCAGAGGCTGGAAGAGGAGAATAAGGCCTTGTAGTTTCAAAGAGTTCTTTCAGTTTCAAGTAACCTCTTGTTTACATGCATTTCGTGTTGTAGGAGTTTTGATGTGGGAAGTTTTCACGGAAGGAAAAATGCCGTTTGAAAATAAGTCAAATTTGCAAGTTGTGGAAGCCATTTCTAGAGGCTTCCGGCTGTACCGGCCTCCATTGGCGCCGATGTCCATCTACGAAGTCATGTATGGCTGCTGGCACGAGGTGAGTGCTCCTTACTCTCCTGGGAAGGTGGGCAGTCCCAGCATCAGAGAACAGGCCTGAGTGTGACAAACATTACCCCAGGACTCCGTGGGGGTGGGGGGAGGAGTCTGTTTCTTGATAAGGATCGCTAAGAGCACGAAGAAGTGCTATTTCTGTCTGAAACTCCCACTACGAGGTCCTCAACCCATTTTGTTTTTAACGATGGCCTTTCACCTGAGGAATTCAGCGCCTTTTTCAGGTCTTCTTTGTCTGAGATTGGTTCTTGCAGAAACTCTTGTGGTGACTAGAGCCTCAGGGGTGAGATGTATCACTCCCTTTGAGAACTGGTGGGTGGAAACTAAGGGTAGAATCAGGTTTGGTAAACATTGACACGGAAAGAGAAGGATGTTGTTTGTATTTACTTCATTCTACTATAATTTGTCTTGCTTCTCCAAGGCTAACAGTAATGGTTTTCATCTCTTTTTTGGCACTCAAGATTCCTGATAGATTAGGAATAAAGACAGAAAGTGTGCCAGGAACTTGTACTCAGGAAATTCCCTTTTGGGGGAGGGCAGGGGTCAGTCCAGTTTTTCTTTTTCTTGAAATGCCACGCTTCAAAATAAAGCCAGACATGTCCTGTCTTTTCTGGGCACAGACTCAATGCACCTCTCCCCTTCATATCAGACTCCCCTGTGACTTTTGACAGCTTTCTCTTTCCAGCTGACAGTGTCTATCCAGAAATACCACAGCTGGATGAGGAGTTTCCTCCAGGCTGAAAAAGAAATCACTTGATTCACAATCCACGAACCATGAAAAACTCAATATTTCAAGAGCAGTGTAGTTGTTCACATTCCAGAGAAGTATTAATTTTATAAAGATCCTTGATGTATGATAATATTTTACATATGATGAACTGCTCTGTAAGGAATCTTGAAACACAGGCACATGTTAAGTGAGCTGTTAGCAGCAAATGGCTGTCTTAAGAGCTTCCCTGCAATAAAAACGTGGATAGCTTAGAAATATATATTGCCTTTGGAACAATAGACATGTACAGTGCATAAAATATAATACTTACTGAGATTTTATTTATCTGTGGGGAGGAAACAGAAAAGAGAATAAATCAGAGGGTGGCAGGAGGCCCGAGTAAATGATGCCAGTCTCAAATCGTAGTCCAAGCATTGATTAAAACAGTGTTTTTGGTTATGCTGATTTATTTGTTTGCAAAAGGTGATTTGCCTACAACTTTTTAAGGTAATCTAAATGCCCTAAGTGCTTAGGCACCTTTAAATTCAAATGTGATTATATTATCACACACACACACATACACATGCACACACTGATATACACATACTGTTTCATAGGCTCTTCTACCTGCAGAACAACAGCCTTCTCCAAAAACTCCAGAAATTATTCCTGGAACCCCAAGGAGAACTTGAATGTGTGCTTACACACCCTTCTGCTTGGTCCTTTTTATTGATGCGCTCTGTTTATAAAGCACTAAGGGTGGTGTCTCCCCACAAACTCTGCAGCCAGTGATCTTTGTGAGAATGTGGCTACCACAAGTGGTTCTATTTCCCATGGATTTTTTTTTTATTATGTTATGTTAGTCACCATACATTACATCATTAGTTTTTGATGTAGTGATCCATGATGCATTGTTTGCGTATAACACCCAGTGCTCTGCGCAGTACGTGCCCTGTTTATTTCCCATGGATTTTAAAGATGCCAACAGTGTCATCTTTTGTTCTTCATGGAGCCAAAGCCAAACCACATCCCTTGGTGAAATAAGATAAACGTTCCAATCCTCGTCTCCGTGACCAGGGATTTTGTTGACGGAGCCTTAAGACAGCACAGTGGGTGCTCCAGGACCTGCAAGGACCCTTATTAAAACACGCCTTTTGCTTTCTGACTGAAATCCTTCTTTCTACAGGGGATCAAGTCTAGTAAATAACTGGGCAGAGCCTGAGAGCCTGGAACTCTGCATGCCCATTCTCTCCCAGCTCTTCCCTTATCCCATGCATCTCAAGTCATCCGAATAGATCTCTAGGGCAGTGCTATCCGACGGGACTTCCTGTGACGATGGGACTGTGTTATGTCTGTGCCGTCCAATAGGGTGCTCATGCCTGGCTATTGAAGAATTGAAAAGTGGCTAGTGTGACAAAGAACTGAACTTAAAAATGTATTTAATTTTCATTAATTTAAATTTAAATGGTCTCAGGTGGCTTGTGTTTTTTGGCAGCACTCTCTACTCTTATAATTTCACACTCATGCTTCACTCAACTACCAATCATGCCCGGTGTGTCAGCCCAGATGTCTTTCTCTTCTACCTGTGGAGAACCAGCCTGGTTCCAGGTCCCTGCCAGCAAGTTCCAGAGCTGGTATCTGAGTGAGGTTCAGGCTGAGCTGACCATCTCTGTTTCTCTCTTCTAGAAGCCTAAAGGCCGCCCTACATTTGCTGAGCTGCTGCAGGTTCTCACAGAGATTGCAGAAACCTGGTGACCTGAATGGAATGCCAACCCAGAGGATCATCTTGCAAAATTATCACAAAAGGAAATCCTGTGTGGGGTCACTGATGATGAACACCTTCCTTTAGAGTGGCCAACTCTTAGAAAGAGTGCAAAGATCACAGGCTTTTCAAACTTTAAAATTTAAGAATATGCTGGAAGTAATTTTTCTACACGGATGTTGGAGAGGGACTTCCAAACTCTCCTTTTTTCTGTACTGTTCTTCGTGTCCCATTTGTGAAGAAGGGAAAAATGCTCCATAACCATCTTCATAGTGGCTGCTCTTCATGAGACTAGCCCTGAGAGCCACTGAGGGTATATGAAAACTTGACCCATTACAGAGCTGAGGAAATTTCTTTTCTGAAGAGGAGTGACATTCTTTACTTCAGGGACTCACTGAAATAAAGAAATTCTGCTAACTCATGGAATAAAGGAGCCTTCTCTGCAGAATTTAATGCTTCTGAGCTGTACAGATCTTTATGGAAAATGCACCTTTACAAACCACATGAATGTGAACATTCTTAAGCTGTCTTTTATAATCTTCCTTATGCTATTTAACAAATTGGTTTTACACGTATCTGATTATTTTGGAGAGTTTCTTGTATTCCAGTTTTTTTTTTTTTTTTTTTTAAGTAGGCATGGAGCCCAACATGGGGCTTGAACTCACGACCCTGAGATCAAGACCTGAGCTGAAATCAAGAGTCCCATGCTTAACCAACAGAGCCACCCAGGTGCCCCACTGTGTTCCAGTTTTAAACACTGTGAAGGCAAAGTTCTTTGAACAGGACCTGGTGACATTTCTATTTCCAGTAATATCCATTGTCAGGGTCAGTTCAGAACCTGAATTTCAATGCTAAAATTTCATACTTTGTGTGAAATTGGACAATTTAAGAGACTTTTTAAAAAAATGTGTAATGTACCTATTTTATTTTGTTTTCCTCATAGTGTAAAAGAATGCTCGTTGCACAGTTAGGTAAAGAAAAGTTATATGTTTTGAAGATTTTATATCTTTTTTAAGTTAAATTCTTAAAAAAATTTTTTTGAGTTTAGTTGACATACAATGTGATATTAGTTTCAGATGTACAACATAGTGATTCAACATCTCTGTGTGTTAGGCTCTGCTCACAATGTAGCTCCCATCTGTCACCATATAACGCTATTACAGTATCATTGACTCTATTCCCTGAGCTGTGCTTTTTGTCCCCGTGATTTATTTCTTCCCTAACTGGAAGCCTGTATCTCCCACTCCCCTTTACCCATTTTGTCCATCCCCCTATGGAAACCATCAATTCATTCTCTGTATTTATGGGTCTGCTTTTGTAAGAAGCCTCATTTTGCTGTAGAAAGTACTTCCAGGACCTTTCTAGAAGATGACTTGTTTTTTCCCCTAAGAACAAGAGGAGGCAAAAACAAGATATCCAAATGTTACCTCAAACTCCATTATTTCTGAAGTCCAGGATTTTGAATTCAAGATAAAATAACCAGGAGTCATAATTAAATCTTGATTTCTCATGCATTGTTTGTAGAGATGATTGGAAATTTATCTTTATCATTGTGAGTGCTTTACAATTCCCATAGGAAGAAGGGTGTGGTAGAAAGTACAAATGTTATCACCATAAAGTTTCACAATGGGAGCCTAGCGTTTGTATGCCATTCCACCCCGCATCATGTTCTGCATTATGATTCTCATTAGAATCTAAGCTGCTGGCTGGTAGTAGTTGTGACTTTTAAGTCATATTTCTCCACTGCAAAAATGACATATCTGAATATCCGTGGTACTCGGTCAACATGCACTGAAATAATGAGCATCAGTCATGGGAATGTTCAACTCTGATAATTCAAGTGATGGTCTCAGAAATATTTGTATGAGACCCTGTGCTGTTTCTGAAACGATCATAACCCTTTTCCTCGTGACTAAGGGAGGTGAGACAGGCCTCCTACTACTGAGACCCTAGTTCAAGTGAGATAAGCCAAAGTTTAGTGCAAGAGGGTATGAGACCATCAAACAGCAAAAGCCAAGACCAGGGAGAAGGTTAATGTTATAACAAACAGAAAACCCAAACACTGAAAAGTTAGGGTCGACTACAGAGCCTCTGCCGTCAATGCAATGCAGGGAGACAGAGTGCAGATCAAGAATGGGTCCAGAGATAAGTCATTGCTGGAGGTCAGATGGCAGCCCCTGGCACGTCTAGGAGCATACATTGGGGGTGGTAGGCATGCTCTCTTGCCTTGTGATTTAACACTTCTGGAAATTTCGACATACCAAGAAACAGGAGTAACTGGAGCTATCATGTATGTAACGGAGGCTCCAGATAATGTGTGAATTTGGAATGTCTTTAGACAGAGATTCAGCATCTTTGTCTAGCAGAAGAAAAAATTTCTTGAAAAAAAGAGAAGAAAAGAAAAGAAAAGAAAAAAGAAAAAATTTCCTTAAAGAAGTAGTCACACAAGGGAACTATGTGTGGCAACCAATCTCAGTATTAGTTATTGATAGGGGTTCTCTGTGGATAGCTTACATAGTTTGGGTGAGATAGTGCCATAAAGAGCTCTGCATAAGAAATGAACGGTTTAGGGTTGGATGTGAGTGAGAGCCCTAAAAAAGAGAAGACAAGGGTTCAAAGAAGAGAGGGGAAGCCCAGAAAAACGGAAGGAATTTGGAGGCCAAGCATAGACTATGTTCAGTGCAAATACCCACTTGGTAAGAATAGTCAAAGGATTTTCTTTTCTTTAGTAAACTTTTTATTGAAGTACAATGCATGGTCCCACTATTGTACTGGCAACATGTTTGGCGGTCAAACTCACATGACACAATAGCATTTGGTCCAGCAGTACGTTTGCTCAGCTCTTTAGTGAGATTCAGAACAGGAAAGAACATGCACAGCCCTTCAGTTTCAGTGAAGCCTCCCAATTGTCCATGTGCATAGCTGCTTGGGTCCCCCCTCACCCACCTAAAGAGTGTGTGTATTTGATTGATGGTGATGAGGCCATAGTATGTGGAGGTCATCTTTAAACAAAGAACTTCTCTCTTGGTTTTCTACCTGTCATGTAGGCTAACAACTCACAGGTCTCCCAGCTCACGTGCTGTCTAACAGATCAGAGATTTTCACAGTGTACCAACACATGTCTGGCCCTGGGACCCAGCATTCCCAATTTATCTTGGGACATATTCAAGGGATTGTGCTATTCAAGTGCTGGGAAAGTAAGCCTAAAATCCTCCCAGGCAGATCTAGGTCTGGGGGAAAAAGAGTAAGGTCTACTGCTAACACTTTGCTCACCTAATAAGGTATCCAATCACGTGTAGATAGCGTAGTTTTCATAAAGTGGGTAGATCTGTGTAACTAGCACTCAGATTCAGAAATGGTACATTCCAGAATTTCAGAATCCATTCTCATTTCCTATTCAAGTCATTAATCCAATAGTAATCAATATCCTGATTTCCAACACCACGGATTAGTGTGGGCTTTTTTGAACTTTATATAAGTGAAATCCAATGGTATGTACTCTTTCATGCCTGGCTTCTTTCACTTAATATGTTTGTTTAATCCATCCATGTTGTATGTAGTTGTATTTCATCAATTCTATGTCTGTATAGTTGTATAATTACACCACATTTATCCAGGTTGCTATGAAGTTTAGTGTCTGTAGCCCAGGGGTTGTATAATTACACCACAGATTATTTATCTGTTCTACTCTTGATGGACATTTGGGTTGTTTCTGGTTTTTGGCTATTAGGGTCGGTGCTGCTATGAACATTGTTCTACATGTCTACTGGTGAAAATATGATTGTATCTCTGTTATGTATATGCTTAGGAGTGGAATTGCAGGGCCGAAAAGTATGTGTGTGTTCAGCTTTTATAAATAGTGCCAAGCACTGTTCTAAGTGGACATTACCAAGGACATAACCAGCAGCAGTGTGTGAACATTCCAGTTGCTTCACGTCCTCAATGGTATTTGGAAGTGTCTTGCTCGTTACAATGGCCAAAGGATTTTTATGAGCAAGGATGTCACATATTTACTTTTGTTTGTTGAGCGCTGTTGCCGTAAAATCTCTTTCCTGCACTGTTTGTGTCCGCATAGCAGTATGCTCCATGCACAGCCAAACATAAGTAGTATTTGAGAGGATCGAAATTATTTGGGGCAATACAAAAGGAAAAATATTAGAGATGTAATGCAGAGAAGGGGAATTTGATAGAAGAAAGAACTTGGATCTGGAGATATTATGAAAGATCTGAGTTTCTCATCATGTGTGGGGTGAACACACACACACACATACACACACACACACACACACACCCCACATGGCTATTTGTCTCTCTAATTTCTTTCCAGGGAGTGGGGGTCTTATTAAATGAAAGCTCATGATTTGATAAGAAATGTGATAAGTTTGACTAAATAAGTTTGGGGGTAAGCATCAGAGACAGATGCATGGCTTGACCTGGAGAAAAACTGGAGACGGGCAGGAGATGAGAGAAGGAGATAAAAGAGCTGGAGTGAGGACGCTGCCTGATGGCAGTGAGAGACTTGGGAGAGCAGGGACGTCTGTTATCTTGTGTTGTCCCACCCCTGGGACCCCAGACATTCCTTAAAGTCAATTGGGCTCATGAATGCTGTGTTTGAGTGGATTTTATTGTGTGTGTGGGAAGAGCATAGTGTGTACTTCATACCTGGTTCTACGTGGTGCAGGGCAGCACCTGGGAAGAAGAAGAAACTGGGGGGCAGAAGAAACTAAGCATGGAAGCTCCCAGGGAACTTGTCTAAATCTTGGGAAAAGCTTTGCTTATGTACAGTGGTACAACTGCTACACTGAGGATTGAACTTGATTTTGAGGATAGAAAGAACCTCCCCTAACCCCTGGGCTACAGACACTAAACTTCATAGCAACCTGGATAAATGGGAGAATCAAGGAGTCCTTATCCGGGTGATGGCTGCATTGGTGGGAAAATCCCACATAAATGGTAAGGAATACAAAAGAGAATGTGTAACAGAAGAGCATCA